TCTAAGGGCTGGTCGCGCTGGCTGGTGCTGGTTCTGGGTCTGGTGCTTAAGTTAGGTTTAGGTGTAAAGAGCGCTGTGATTGGCTGCCGCCAGCTGAGGGGTAGGTTAATGCTACTACTTTGCGACAACTTGAGAACTTGCAAAAGAGTTGAGTATCCGGACTTACATATATAACAAAACTTCTCAGGTCCAGCCCGAGTGGTGCCCGGTACCGATTCTATGTAGTTTTTACCACATTCAATTGTTTTGTTTTATGTCAACTTTGGAAAACTCGTCGATGTGTCATTATTAATAAACGTGTTCTGAAGTCCTTCCTTGAAGATACAGTAGCGTGAATCTCGCTAAGCTTACGCGATACTACCCACTACTGTAGTAGTACCACTGTAGTAATATGTAAGTTGCGAAATAATCCCACTGATAATTTTTTGAAGGAAATCTCTTACGCTAGAGGTTTGTGTGAGGCGTACTGAGCTATGGCGATTTGTGAGTTTAAATCAGCAACCAGGTCCCGGGGTTCGCTGCCCTCTGAAGAGGCCATCTTCCTTGGCTTTGGACATGAAAGTCAAAGCACCGTACTACGTAATCCTTTCTGGCCTGGCGTCAGCTCTTGCTGCGAGGTGCTTGGCTCGGACATGTTAGTAAGGACGCAAATAGCTCACTAGATGCACGAAATGCTAAGGAACATTTACGTAGGCTCCTTGTTCTCTTTTATTGCCAACTCGAGGAGTTTCGCCAATTCAAATGGCATGTTAAATAATCTGGTCCAACGTTCAATGACGAGTACAATAGTGCGAAAGAGTTTTGATAGGGAAGGGGGTGGGCATTTTACCCTGAACCCCTTCCACAGGGATGACCTGTCCAGTGAGCCCATGTAGAAAGTTAGAAGTAAGCCTTTAGCCTGATGGTAATTCCACTTTGTAAGACCGCCCATTACACCGTTGAAGCCGACGATACGGTAGAACGGGGTAAAACGCTCCAACAGCCTGCAAAACGAAGCTTTACACAAATACGGCGGCTAGGTTAGGCGGAACGTTAATGCATAAGCTATATTTCAAAAATTATTCAGTGTGAGGATATTTAGTGTCAAGTGATACCTCTCAATCCCGGGTGATATCTTCATGTAATCAACGCCGAAGCTCGCGTGCTTGGACAGACAACGCTTGCGGGTGTCGTTATCTGCTCCAAGTACGACGACAAGACCTGCCAATCCATTAGCACAATACGGAATGGCTGAGAAACCGAATATTCTACTACAACAGAGCGGCATAAACCCCGACGGAATTATATGTATCAGTTGTGTTGTGATGTACTGGTCCTCACGGTTGGTGCCGAACCGACTAAACAAGGTTTTGTTGAAGAGGGTGTGTCACTGAGACAGTTGGAAAAGGTGAGGAAAGTAGTGAGAAAACCATAATGATGGAAATTGAGCTAGACGAAGAAAGAGAGAGAAAATGCTAGAGCTCACTTCACAAAATACAAACAGCAGCACAAGCTGCCTTTCCCACCAACTTCGAGTGCTCTGTGTTTCTTGCTTCAGGTGCAGACGCTTACATACCAGTGCAGTTTACAAGTGGTTATGAGCCCAACAAGTCACCTGTAACAAGAACGATGAGCACCACAAACAACAACAAGAAGGGCGGATCGGATGACAAGAAGAAGGCACACCCACCTTTTGATGGCCAGGACTTCGAAGTGTGGCTGGAGCGAATGACTTTGAAGCTTCAGCGCAAAGGACTGTGGAGCTACTGCGAAAAAGAGCCCACGGAACCGAGTTTCACTGATGACGAGGCGAAAGGAGAGGAGACGGATGATCATGCTAAGTACATGAAGGAGAGTAGGAGAGCAAAGGAGATCCTGTACGATGGTATGACTGACAAGATAATGAAGACGGTCAAGTACGAGGCAACCCCGTACAAAGTGATGGAACATTTGAAAAAACGGTACATCGGAAAGACTTACTTTAAGTATGCTGCGGAAATGACAAAGTTGAGGAAGCTGCAGTTGGACGCCAAGGGCAATATGTCGGACCATCTCGGCGAGATCCGACGCCTGATGGACAGGATCGGGCTGCTTGGGAAGCCACTAGATGACTACGAGAAGCCGGCTCTGCTCATTGGCTCGCTTCCCAGTGACTACGACAATGTGGTGGAGACGTTCTTGGCTTCTCACGTGCCGACTGACCCAAACGAACCCCCGAACTATGAGCAGTTGGAGCATGCCCTTGAGACTGCGTACGACCGCCGCCAAGACCGCAAGGTGGCAGCCGACAACATTGATGAAGAGAAGGCGCTGTTTGCTGATGGTGGCCGAGGTCGCGGTCGTGGGGCTGGACGCGGTCGTGGGGGCTGAGCGCGGTCGTGGTCGAGGTCGCGGACCGCTTTAGTGGACGCGGACGTGGCCCTGGGAGAAGGTTGTGGTCGAGGCCGCGAAGAAGGTTACGGCTGAGGCCGAAGGTGCTGACGGACGAGAGGCCGAACGAACAAGTGGGAGGGCCCAAACTGTTTCACTAGCGAGAGAAGGGCATCTAGTAGTACGGAGGGCCTCATCTGGGGGAAGACACGCAAAAGTGAACGGAAAAGAATTGCACAGACGTCTAAGCGCGGCTATACCTCGAGTTGATGCAGCCGTATCA